TATATCTCTGAAAGATTAAATATAAATCATTTGAGTGTGTTGCTAATTATGATTGTATTGGTTTATATATGTGCAGGCTGCAGCCTCACCACGACCGTATGCATGCCAGGAATATTAGTCACTCCATAATGTACGGTGGTTTCCTTAATTTGCATGCATATATGAGTTATTTAGTTTTATTTTTCCTGGTTACCATCGCGCTAATAAATTACTCCACTTAGACCCTTTTATCTATAAAATAAATATTATGATGATGATTTGTGGAAATATGTGTTATATTAGAGAGAAATAAACATCTTAATTTGTTGGTTAATTATTGTATTTGACTGATCACTGATCTTGGATTGTATATTGTTGGTCCATAAGATGTGGAGCTGAAAGGCCAGGGATCAGCACAGGGAGAGGTGGACAAATTAATGGGACGAAGGGGTTGAGGGAGCAGAATGTTTCTGATCTCACCAGCTCAAAGACTGATCAGAAAGATGGCAAGAAAAGCAAAGAAGATGTCACTGCTACTCCAAAAAAGACTGGTTCTACCGATTGAAAACATATTATCGACAATTTCTGATAATCCGTCTTCTAATAAAGAACCGACGTGCTATGCAAAGAAGAACTGGGATATATATAACATTCTAAAATAGCTAGCTTTTTAATAAAGAGAGTAGCTTGTGAGTAAGATGCATAAGTCTTCCTTCGATCCGGTCTCAACGCGAAGCTCAAAGATGTCTGAGAAGGATATGGCAATGAATGGTAGAAAGCATATTGTATACATAACTGTATGTTTAATGGTTGCTAGCTAGCGAGCTAGCTGCGATCATGATGAATCTATGTAGTGTTCTATATATTCTTCTTTCTTACCTGTTCGTATAATTTGTTACTTGTAATTTGAGAGTTAAGTGTTTTAATTAGCTTTGCAAGCATGTCCTATAAGTAATAATCATATGATTAGTGAAGTGTTTTAGCCGAGTACAATGAACTTCCTCTCTCTCAATGATATATAATTTTTCGATGGAGGAATTTTTGAAATAAATTTATTTGAAGAACACGTTGTAGGATTGATATAAAAAAGTTCGGAATTTTCATACTTACGAGGCCCTCACAGAATATAAAAACTTTTTGTACTTGACTGACTCGTCCATGCACAAAGATACGATCCAGATCTAATTATCTTTTAACAGTCAAGTCAATGTTATGGGGCTTTTGAAAAGCTTGGGAAAGACTAATCAAAACAAACCACACAAAACTCACACACATTGGTGATCATGAATTCACACATATACAACGATAATATGCAACCTTGGAATGCAAGTATGTCATAATCATAAATAAAAATAAATAGGATTACCACTGAATTTCTGTTAATCAGTTCCCCAGTCCATGCATGGTTTAAAAAACTTTGGTCGTCAATGGGAAAACAACGAGGACCGTAGGGGATATGCCAACTTAATTATGTTGACTTGGATCGGTCTGTATTACAGTAGTTTACATTGAATATGAAAGTTCTGAAAAGTTTTCCACTAATCCGGACAAAAAACCAAAAAGCAAAAATTATTGGATTAAAGAGGGTCATCCACACGTTGACTTGGTCTTAATATTATTAGTCTTACTATCAATTATGAAAAGTTACATGCCAATTTCTACATATTTAACTTTAAAGAATGAAAATGAAAAATTAGTAGTTTAATGAGTAAATAACGGAACGGAAAAGGTACGAATAAAATAGTATGTGTTTCGTGTTTTATTCGGCAAAATTTTGAAGAGATACAACTACAAAGTTCGGCCACTATATAATATTTTATTTAATAATATGTGAAAAATATGTGTATAATTGTGACTTTTGTCTGTATTAATCAAAATTTTATAATAAAAAATACATGTATTAAATGTGAAAAATACATACATACGTGTATTGTATGTTTAATTTTTTTTAAATGTGTATTTTACCAAGTCTTTAAAACGTGTACCAAAAATAAAAGTATTATTGAAAAATACGTATATATATACAGTTATTCTCTTATCCGGATGTCCGCATGTTATTATCGTGCGGATTCTATTGTAAATAGATAGGAAAGCAGAGAGGGGTAGTACAAAATACATGGCGTCCGCACAATAATAATATCCGGATGTCCGCATAAGAAAATTTCTATATATATATAATATGAATATTAAACGGAAAAATGCTAAAACAATCTTTTACATATATGTAATTTACTTTGTTGCTGTTGACTTCTCCAAAGGATTGGAAACCAAATTTGAGAAGTCTGACCTACTCCTCAAGTGACTTTTTCCTGTTGACATATATATATAATAATAATAATAATAACAATAATAATAATATATAAACGGAAAGTCTCGTGTAATATGGTAAAGGCTGGAACCAAACCGATAGCCCACTTTTATAACCTCATTAACCAATGTATCCATTACCAAACAAATCAATTTCCACAAAGTACTATATTCCACAATTAAAATAATAGACTTTCATAAACAACCCACTGTCACTCAATCCACGTACTTTAATGATAAATAATAACCCTTAGAGATCCCATATCCTCATTAAGCCAAATTAACTCAATGTTAAATCAAAACTCAATTCTGCAAGAAATTCCATAGCTTAAATTATCAAAATAATGTCCGAGAATTCCCTACGATACTATGACACAATCTCACAATCCCAACATAACCAAAGTAACTCAAATAACAGTCAAGTCTCGTTTATAAGGTTGCTCTAGTACTTCTCGAAGGGTGAAACTACTTCGGAAGACTCACGGTCAACCGGGCCTGTGGGGACCACGGCCTTCGATTTTCGATCCGGAAGTTCCTACCGATTCAACAAAGTTTACCATACAAGTCCAACAATTTTGTTCCGAATCGAACGGTCGGATCGCTCACTATCGCATGATCAAACAATCACAATTTTACCTAACCTTTGAATCATTGAATCGGAGTTATGTACTTGATCATATATATATATAAGTTCTTCTTAATAATAATATGTTATGTTTTAGCTTTCCATGATGAATCTATATGTGCAAACGATTTGGTTTTCATGTAAGCAAAATGTGGGCCAAATTAATTAGCCAGAGGAGCCACTCTAGTTTAAATCGTAATTTTAAGGTTGTTTTTGTCAATTTCTAAACGATAAAAACTAAAATATAACCGATGCCACATCAGAGAAGTTACAAAACGAGTAAACGTGTGTTAGTCGAGTTGGTCAATCCTTGCCTCTACACCCAATTCACTAATGATTACAGCAACATCATAACGTGAATGTCATAATCAGTTAATTTTTTTAATGTTAAAAAAGTAGTACTGAAGCAATGTTTGATAGTAGTTCAATCGATCATACAGGTCAGATGGGGACAGGTCTCCACCATTAGCAAATTAAAACAAATAAAATGTGTTTATTATTACCCAACGTGAATAATGTGAATGAACCACCTACAACCTTTCCTATATATTTGTTTACTATCCTATTTGTCTCATTTTCTTTTTTGCCTCTGGCTTGAGTACAGAATTCATGAACATTGATCACCACATAATAAGTAATGGTCAACTTATTTATGAACTACACCAATATATACAGACACTCTACGAAATTTCTTATGTTAAGTAATTTTCTGGTGTGATTTTATACACGATCAGTCCATCCATATTATAACACATCTTACATGTAACATTACATGACGATGTTCCAATCACAAGCAAAATCAAGCCCAACTTGCTCATACCAAATACCATTTGTTGAAATTTTGCCTATAAAAATTAGTCTCTCATGAATAGTTTGAGAAAATAATTGATGCACTAGCTCTTTTGTTCTTTATTATCTAAAAGTTGTTGCTTCTGCAAAAGAAGGTAAAATATGTATGTATCATATACCATGCATTGCATTCTATAGTGATAAATTTCCAAAAGTAAAAAAAAAAACCAACAATAGGGGGTTCATCATTGCAGGGGCAATGATGAAGTTAAGATAATCCTGAAATAATTAATAAGGAAGCCCCCTAATTGTTGTTAATTAATCAACAGAGGTGGCCCATGAATATATAGGAGAATATATACGTACACCCAACTTAATCATAGAGAAAGGACCTTATCTTTATCTGTGTCCAATAGGGAAAAAAAGGGAAAGGAAAGGAAAGCAGAACGAAGGGTCCAGTTCAAGTTCCATTATTGCACCACTACACTAGAAGCCAGGCATATTCACTTTGGCCCTCTCTATAAATCTGAGACTTTCTCTCACTTAGAATATCCACATGCAATTAGTAATAAGCTGATCACTCTAAATTACTGAGAAGATCAGCAGAGATAGGGAGTTAATTTCTTCAAAAATGGATCGATCCGCGGATCATGGCTCTAAGAGCATCTCCAAGGGAGATGTCAAATACCAAACATCAAATTTAAATTTGATGGCTGATGTGGCAATTTGACATCTTAGAGCATCTCCAACCGATACGTCAAAAGTGCCACATAGACATTTAACAGCTAGAAATAACATCTCACACACTCCAACCGATGTGTCAAAGCTGATGTGGAATGAAGGCTGAAGATTGAGATGTTATTTTTGACATCCCAAAAGCAAGATGTCAAATAAATATTTTATTATTTTTTCTTTTCTATTCTTTTTAATTAAAAATAAATCAACACTAAAATGTAATAAAATAATAATTTAATTTGACATATCGGGTGGAGTCTAAAGCTGTGTAAGAGCATCTCCAAGGGAGATGTCAAATACCAAACATCAAATTTAAATTTGATGGCTGATGTGGCAATTTGACATCTTAGAGCATCTCCAACCGATACGTCAAAAGTGCCACATAGACATTTAACAGCTAGAAATAACATCTCACA